GTTGTTCACCATCTTAGCTGTAGAGGGCGCAGTGTCACTGGCCCTCATGTGGGATCCGAACCGGGGCCCTGCTGCTCAGAGCTGACGTCCCAAGCCAACTCTTGACCAACGCACCACTCGGCCGGCCCCAATGGTACGTTTGTTACTAGTGATGAACCTACACTGACACATTGTAATTGCCCCAAATCCCTGGTTTACATCAAGGTTCACTCTAGCGATGTACATTCTATGGGTTTGCACAAATGTATAATGATATGTATGCACCATTACAGTAGTATACAGAGTAGTTTCACTGCCCTTAACATCCTCTGTGCTCTAACGATCCATCCCTCCCTCCCCCAGCCCCTGGCAACCACCAACTAGCACCCCTGATTAGCCCATGGTTTTGTGAATCAGGAGTCCAGGCAGGCAGGACCAGGGTGTCTGTCGGGGTAAGTTGTGCAGTTCCTGGTCACTTGCTGGCTGTCAGCTGTGTCCACTCAGTTTTCAGAGGCTGCCTGCATTCCTTGTCCTGTGGTTCCCCCCAACACACACACGCACACCTTCAAAGCCAGCAATGGAGACTCCCCGTTCTGTTGAGTCCCCTACATACTTCCAATCTCTCCAGGAAAAGGTCGGTCCCTTTTAAGGGGTCACCTGGTTAGGTCAGACCCACCGAAGATTGTCTCCCTCCCTTAAAGTCAACTGATTGGCAACTTAATTCTGTCTGCAACAGCCCTTCTCAGCAGCACCTAGGTTACCATCTGACTGAAGAATTGGGAGAAGGTGTGTGCACCAGGGAAGCAGGGGTCTTGGGGGGTTATCTTAGAATTTTGCTTACAGCAGGTTGATAAGAGATGAGAGGTTTGAAGAGGGGGTAAGGAGGGTCTTCTGGGGGGTATTTAAGGGGATGCCTGAAGGGAAGAGTGGAGGGGTCATTCCAGGCAAAGTCCATCCAAGGCCACGAGATGAGAAAATGTGGCTTGTGCTAGGGACTGGCAGTTGTCATGTCGATGACACCAGCTAATGCCTGTGACGTGCCTGGCACGGGAGAATGGACGTGATGATAAATAGTAGCTACATACAGCTTTTATCCTGTCAAAGAAATCTGGAAGCAACCCAGCTCTCCTCTCTCTCTGCCCTCCCTCTCCCAGTGACCTTGGGTGGGTCACTTTCTTCTTTCTGGTCCACACCTGGTTCCGTCAATGCCCACCCTATCCCTCCTAGAGACCAAAGAGCGGATGGAGAGGAGGGTGCAGCTTGGGCCAAGGCCCAGAGGTGAGAAAGGAGGGCGGCTGTGGCTTGGGCAGCTGGCTGAGTGACAGCAAATATTTATGGAGCTCAAGTCTGTGCCAGGCACAGTGTTGGGTGTGGCAAGATAAGGAGGCCCCGGGACCTGGCCTCTAAGGCTGAATTCCAAACCGCTCACCCAGGAGGCCGGAAGCAGGGGTGGATAACATTGTGGGTTGAAGCTTGGGAAGAAGGGCAGAGCTCTGCATGGTGGGATGTCCGTGGGTAGGTGGCTGTCCCCTGGGAGCCTCAGAGCCCCTTTGGAAAGGGAGCCTGTCCCAGTCTTGACTCACGTGCTCAGCTCCCTACCTCCTCTGATCAGGTTTCAAAATACTCCTCCTAGAATCACTCCTTGGTCACCAGGCTGAAGTTCCATCTTCCATCATACTGCAGCCAGAAGCCCCTGCTTTTCCCTTAGCACTGCTCTCTCTTCTCCTGGTGGTACCTGGCGTTAAGACGCACTGGCTTCAATGAAATAAGTAACGTTGTATTGGACTAAAATACACATTTATATGCAATAAATAACATCGTATTGGACTATACTATATATTTATATGAAATAAATAATATATTATTATAATATACATTTATATGAAATGACAATATAGTGGACTAGAACCCAAAGTGTAAAATGATATCCATGAATCCATACAGGCACAAATAAATGACTGAATAAATAAACAGGTGGAAGGAAAAGGGACAGAAGAATTCCAAACAAGGTATTCAGGAGACTTCCCCTCCCCCCACATGGGCAAACTTAATGACTTGTTTACAAAGAGTGGGGGCTGGAAAGGGGGAGGGGCCCCTTTACAGTGGAGAAACCTGCAAACTCCAAGTCAATGTCCCCCAGGTGATCAAGGTTAACATCATCAGTGTTAAGTCACGTGGGTAACATGCACCCCTGAGAGGAGGTGGCGAGCAGCGTGTCTCACTGGCGTGGTCTTTCTCCCCCAGGACTGCTCAAAACGGCCAAAGTCACCAAAACTCAAGGCAAATCTAAGAAATGATCACAGAGCAGACATTCAGGAGGCGTGTTGTAAGGCCATGTGGTATCCTGGGTGGGGTCCTGGAACAGAAAATGTGCATTAGAGGAAAATGAATGAAGTCTGAGTAAAGGGTAGTGTTTGGTGGATCGTAATCTCCCCATGTTGGTTTATTGGTTTTGCAAGAAAGATGGACCATGTTAAGAGGAGAAAATAACATTAGGGAAGCCTGGGTGAGGGGTTCACCAGAAGTTTGTGCTGTCATTGCAGCTTCTCTGTAAATTCAAAATGATTCTAAAAGAAAAAGGTTATTTAAAATAAAAACCTGGTGGGCATTGCCCCTCAATGCCCACCAGTCTATGCTCCAAATAGAAGCCACTGGGAATCTGTTAAATCAGGAGAGGAGCTCGTGCTCCTCAAGTGTATGTGTTTCTCAAAGTGTGTCAAATGGTAACATGTAAAATGTATGCCTTCACTGTCTTTAAATTTTACCAAGGGTGAGAAGCTTAAATAAATATTTGATAGCTTGTTATGCATGCTGAAGTGTTTAGGAGTGACGTGCACTGACATTTGCAAATTGCTTCGAAATGAATTTTGAAAAGATAGATGTATGGGAACTATCTGTAATTTCCACTCAGTTTTGCTGTGAACCTAAAACCACTCTAAACAGCTTCATTATGAAGCAAATAGAATAAAATACTAATTGTAGAGTCTAGGGGGGGTGAGTATATAGATATTCACTCTATAATGCTTTCAATTTTGTTTTGAAATTTTCAAAATAAAATGTTGAAACGAAACAGGGAAGTTAAATCTTGCCAGCCTTGGAGCGAATTTCTCCAAAGCTCCCTCCGCATCTCATTTGGAGTACAAACCAGAGTCCTGAGTCCCCACCAGATCCAGACCCCCATCTCCTTTCTGATCTCCTTTTCCATTACTCCCTCCTTCTTTCCCTCACTCCCTCCAGTCACGTTGGCCTCTCTGTTCCCTGAACACATCAGTCACATTCCCACCCCAGAACCTTTGTATCAGCTGTGCTCTCTCCTGGGGCATGTCCCCCGTTATCTGTGAGGCTCTCCTGCAGCTCCTGCTCTGACAGGCCTGCATTTCCTGCACCAACCCCCACTCCCCACCCTGTGTCATCTTTCTCCATAGCACGCATCCCTAAGCTGCTTTATCATTTACTTGCTTCCTATGTTTCCATGTCCATCTCCTGCTCACCAAAATGGAAGCCCCACACGGGGAGGGGTCTGTGTCTCTTTCATTAACCCACGATCAGCACCTAGTACAGTGCCCAGCACATAGTGGGGCCTGAATCAATATTTGTTGAACAGATGTCCTGAGTCTATTTTGTAAAAATCTGTGTCTGCCACCAGAGGGTAACCTTGTATAGTAGTCTACTGCTGATTCTCCCATCTCTAAGCACAGCCCTTTGCACATAGTAGGTCCTCAACAAAGAGCTTTAGGATAAATGAATGAATGGGGTAAGGATGAATCCTTGTATAAGGGTTAAAAGCACAGGCTTTGAACCACACACTTGGGGTCATATGTGGATCTACTACTTACTAGCCATGTGACCTTGAGTAGGTCTGTTCACATCTCTGTACTTGAGTTTCCTTCTCAAGGAAATGGAGCCCCCATGGTGATGTATGAGGAACTCTCATACATTGCTGGTGGGACTATAAATGGTACAGCCACCTTGAAAAACTGTCTGGCAATTTCTTAATTCACCATAAACTTCTCACACGGCCTAGCAATTCTGCTCCTGGGAATTTCCCCAAGAGAAATGAAATCATATGTCCACAGAAAGACTTGTACATGTATGCTCATAGCAGCACTACCTATAACAGCCAAAGAGTGGACACAACCCAAACATCCATCAAAAGAGAAATGGATAAACAAAATGTGGTCTATCCATACAATAGAATACTATTCAGCCATAAAAATGAATGAAGTACTGATATAATTTGAGTGTGGATGGACCTTAAAGACATTATGCTAAGCAAAAGATGCCAGACACAAAAGGCCATGTATAGTATGATCCATTTCTATGAAATGTCCAGAAAAGGTAAATCTATAGAGACAGAATGTAGACTAGTGGTTGCCTGAAACCAGTGCTGGGAATGGGAAATGACTGTTAACGGGCACAAGAGATCTTTTTGGGGTGATGGAAATGTTCTAAAATTGGATTGTGGTGACAGTTGCACAGTC